TGGGTGTATTCCACCCATGACCGGTCAAAGGAGAAGACCAAATAGTTGACCGGTCAATCTTGAAAATTCTGGAAAGGGAGACTTTAATCGTCAGCAAGTGGGTATTTGATCGGTCCGAATTTGACCGGTGTACTTCGGGAAAAAGTATACCGGTCAAACTACTTATCACTCCATTCATTCCCTAAGTACGATAAACTCATCCCTCAGAAATTACCCGGTGTAGTTTCTAGGGTTGGAAAGTGTCGGCAGAGGAGAATCTACGAGGGCTTGGCGTGTAGCGACCCGTGTCAGTAGAGAACAACTGGAGATGCTGAAGAATCCATCCAAGGCACTACCTGACAAAGGGAATAATCCCCCTCACAAGGCGACAAGGTAGCTAAGAGACGAGGCCCATCACCTCTCAACATCCGAGACACGTGCCTCCACGTGGGCGCACGTGGGCCTGTCCCCCCAAACCTAGTATAAATACGGCTGCAACTCTCAGAAGTAGGGATCCGAATTCATTTTCTCTAAATTCCCTTGTAAAAGCACCCGTGCATTCTCCGTTATAATACAGATTGGGCTACAGGTGTTCCACCTAAAGTCCTACCGGTCAATCCGTGTGTTTTTACCTTTCTTACCTTGCTCAGTCGAACAAACCATTCTAGACCCGGTCTAGTATAGTTTGACCGGTCAAGTAATTTACACCATCAAGAACCTATTTCAATCAAATCAAAATTAATTAGATGAGACGAAGAGAACGAGTTACCTTTTGAGGGTCATCATTGAGATCGTAAGTGGTGTAATCGTTACCAGCCACCGACACGTGAGCAAGAGAAGAGCTTAGGTCGCGTTTGGTATACACGTTTTGTTCAACCAGTCGTTGGAATTCATGCAATTGGGTGCTCATGTTGGGCCCACCCAGAACCGTGGTGAAAACCCCGGTCCCGCCGTACGCGAAATTTACCCCGTCTTTTACTTTTTTACTGCCACCGACATTCCACCTTCTTCTTCTTCTTCTATATGGCGGCGGTGATTCGATCCCCAGGTAAGTGGCTGCTCATCAAACGGTTAGTTTTCCAAGGGACTGTTTGGTTGGTATAGAAGGAGAATGAAATGAAGTGCGACAAAAAAAAGTTTATGGAAGATGATGAAGGGAATGTTTTCTACAAAAAACAAGACCAATTAATTACTCCATCCGTCAGAAAATGTTTTTCACATTTCACTTTTCTTGGTCAAAGTTTTTAAACTTTGACTACGATTTGTGGAAAAACACATTGTATTATGATGTAAATTTAATATCAATATATTCATAATGAAACGTAGTTTTCAAATACTCACTCCGTCCTAAAATTAATTTCCCAATTTGACTAAATTAATTTTAGGACGGAGTATCAAATTTTTATAAAATATATCTATGTCTAAATATAGATATTAATGGTCAAATTGCAATATCGGAGACCGTGAAAAATCAAATAGGAAGAACATTTCCAGACGGAGGGAGTATTAAAAAATGCTAGAGTGCCTCTAAATGGATGAACTCATTCTTCGCACAGATGATTATCATTTGTGTCGCACAGATGATTATCATCTGTGTCATTTGTGCGAAGCATGAATGCACCCGGTGAGTTGTAATAAATAAAGTAAGTGAGGGTAGTTGTGGTATTTTAATTATTAAAAAAGGTAATGAGAAGATTTATAATGGATAAATAAAAAGGACTAATGAGAAGATCTACTCGGTATTTGATTCTTTTTTTCTCCATAAAAACGGGTGCTATTCAATATAAATTGAGGGACAGGATATGAAATGAGCAAGAACCAGACCTATGAAATCGGTAAGAACACGGCCGTCGGAAAATCTGCCGGAGGGTTTGCCGGGGAAAGTGATTCCGTAGGGCTCAGTCCAACAGGCGGAGCCATTGGGGGTGTTGCCGGTGTCGGCATAGGAGTCCCCGAAAACGAACATCACAGTACTGGGGGAAACCTCAGCAATCCTCCCTTCACCACAGTAAACTTCTGCAATATGTTAATTAGTTAGAAATCACTGAGCTCCAAATTAAATTAATCTGCAGAAAAAGTGATCCGAGAAAAAAGGAGACTGGACTGTGGAATTGACCTGGAAAAACAGAGAGAACGCATAAGAAGAAGAAGAAGAAGAAGAAGGTGGGAGTCAAGATTGGTCTCCTCTTCTCCATGCCAATGAGTGAGCTCTTCTTGGGAGGGAGAGGTTTTCGTTTTTATTATTATTGGTCATTGATATAGGTGCAATGCCCGTGCAATAAGGACCATGCTACACTTACACCAAAAAATATACCCTATTTGTACACCACAGGTTTACACAAACATTTCGATGGTTTACACCGACACAAGTGTTGGTGCGTTAATAAATATTCACACAGACACAAATGTTGGTGCGTTTAACAAAAATTAGTTTTACACCAACACAAAGTGTTAGTGCAAAACTGCAGGGTACAAATTAGGGTACAAACTTTGGGGTACACATAGCATAATCCGTGCAATAATGAAAAAATAGTACACTTTGCTTTTAAAAAAACAATGCCCACTTTGACTTTTCAAGTATTTTTTTAAAACTGAGTATATAGTTAGTATTCTTTCTTGGGGTTGGTGACATTAACTCCCCATCTCATCCTATGACATGGGCTCCAATTAAGGCTCTGTTCCGTACGCCTGATCTGATTGAATCTGATTTGAATTTTTGAAGTTCTGATCTGATCTGATCTGATTGGGTCTGATCTGATCTGATTGGGTCTGATCTGATTGGATCTGATCAGATCTGATTAGATCTGATCTGATTGGATCTGATCTGATCTGATTGGATCAGATCTGATCTGATTGGGTCTGATCTGATCTGATTGGGTCTGATCTGATCTGATTGAATCGGATCTGATCTGATTGTCTGATTAGATCTGATTTTCTCTAATTAGATCTGGTGTAAATGAATTTAAATTTGATTTAAATTAAACTTAAAATTATTACAAAATTTAATACTTTAAAAGTATTACAATTCATATATACATAAAAAAAGTAAAATAAGAAAATTAGCTAATCATTAATATGTTTAAACTTTTTTTAAAAATATTAAACATCTTTTTAATATCACAACTTTTTTAATTTTTGTGAAAACTAAATAATCGGTATTAAAATAAACAAATATTAGAAAATATTGATGCTATTCTACAAAATTATCACATTCTATATATATATATATATATATATATATATATATATATATATATATATATATATATATATTACATAATAATATATTTCATGTTACAAATTAAAGATCATATAAAATTTTAAACACTAATATCTCTTTCACCTCTATCAATTTTGTCATAAACCACCCTTGAGTATATTATACCATCTTAAAGTTTAAAAGTAAGCCTTTTTAAGTACAAAATATTTATAGTTTTCAAAACTAAGTTTTGTATAATTATTTTATAAACAAGTATTTTAAAATAATTCTTTTTAAAGTATGACAAATGAAACTTTTTAAGCTTTAACATTGCTTCCATGCATGATTTCTATCCTACAAGCTAAACAATTATATAAAATAATAATTTCTAGTTGAAATATAATAATAATAATAATAATAATAATAACAACAACAATAATAATACAACAATAATATTTAAAATTATAATATTAATTAAGATTTAGGTGTGTGTAGTTTTAAATAAAGTAATGTGATTTAATCAAATAATAGTAATTATTATTTAATCCTTGAATAATATAAATATTATCTTTTATATTTTTTCTTGATTTGATGTTATTAGATTTGATCTGGTCTAATCTGATCTGATTGGATCTGATCTGATTGGATCTGGTCTGGTCTGATTGTATCTGATCTGATCTGATTAGATCTGGTTTGATCTGATTGAGTCTGATCTGATTGAGTCTGATCTGATCTGATTGAGTCTGATCTGATCTGATTGGATCTGATCTGATTAGGTCTGATCTGATCTGATCTGATTTTAATAAGAATAAGTAATAAGTAGAAAAATAAGTCCTACGGAACGGACCCTAAGGCATCTATGATGTTCTATTCAAAAAATCAATGGTTCATGCCCTCCTAATTTTCTCGGTAAACTCGTCTCCCCCCAGTTTGGCCCGAACATATCTTTGCACGCCAATTACATGCCACAAGATTTATTTGACTTTGGAATCAAAATTTGACTTCAAAGTCAATTATATCTTGTGACATGCAATTGACAGGGGTATGTTCGGGCCGGGCCGGGGTGGGAGTGGTTTACCGGAGGTGTTAAGAGTGTAGGAATCATCAATTTTCAAACAAAACATCGTATGAACCTCGGGTTATCCCATTACATTGAATCTCAATGTCATGCGAACCAAGGTGTTCTTTCTTAACTTATTGAAGTTTGGAGAATTATTTTATTCACTAGTATTCGAACTTGTGACCTTGGGAGAAACACAATAATGTTGTTGGACCATAAAGTCTTTGACGAATCGCGTGATCATTATTTAAAGAGCCCGGTTCCATGGCCACTGGATTCCAGTGGCCACGGAAGCCACTGCCCCCCTACGGAGCTCCGTTCATAAAATTGATGATTCATACCCTTCTAACCCCCTCGGTAAACCCCCCGCTAAGTCCCGACCCAAACTAATCACCCCAGAACATCAAAGATGAACTTCTGGAATTCTCAATGAACACCCATTCATATGCTCGAACAAAAGCTCAGGGGGTTCAAGGATGAAGAAACCGAGCAATTAGATCTCACGCAAGTAGTGAATAGGGACGACGTGATCTACGTATAATCAACGAACTCGCTTGTTTGCATCACCTCTCTTTTTAGTTCTATCTCTCGTACTTGAAGATTGATAATCGATCAAGGAACCTTAGTAGAGCTTGAGTAGGATAGTCTTCCATTCATGCTGCTTTGTCTGTATAGTCGAATGAATTCTAGTGTTCTTTGGACTACGGATTTGCATGTAGCAAAGCTTGCGTAAGTGGAGTAAGATGATCATAGTGTGTCAAGGAACCTTAAATTCTAGTGTGTCAAATACGCTCCCCACGTGCAGGCGTAATCTTTTTCGAGCCTTTCACGTGTAACCTTAAATTTTTTAAAATTGGGTGGCGCTGAGTTTTAAACTCGTGACCTCTTAGTCAACAAGACTCTGATACCATATCAAAAAACCAACTCGACCAAAAATTCAAGCTTGTGGTTGTGGTCTAGGAATGATTTTCATATACTCTAACACGTTCTCTCACATGTAGGCGTGACTTCTTTGAGCTTGCACGTGAAATCATAATCATAATTTTTTAAAACTGGGTGGCGATGAGTTTCAACATCATGATCTTTTAGTCAACAAGGCTTTGTTTAGTAAATATGTCAAAGAACCAACTCAACCAGAAGCTCAAACTTATGGTTGTGGTATATGAATGATTCTTATGTACCCTAACATAGTGCATAAATACAAGTTTTCCATAACTTGTGTGTGAAATGGAGAATTATATATGCACAAACATAGTCTCGTGGATGCACGAGGTCATAATATGATCCGAGATTCAAGGTCAAAAGATCATTGCCTTATTGACAATTCTAAATTACCTCTTGTGAAGATTATTGCAGGAATGCGAGGTCTACAAATTAGAAACTTTTTCCAAACAACATAAATAAATCATTGTTCACTTGTTACTGTTTTTATATTTTATTGTGTGCGCATGTGACAAAAAAATGATATATACTCTTTCCGTTCTCAAAAACACTTCCTCTTTCATTTTTTCCACTTCCAACAAAACACTTCCCCTTTCTATTAAAAAACCATTTTTACCCTTACTTTTTCATACTCTACCTATCACATCATACTTTTTCTCTAATAATTTATCCATCACATCTTACTTTTACCCATCACATCAGGGGCAAAATTGGAAATCAACTATAATTTAACACTTCCTTATTTTTGCCCCAAATCCAAATGGGAAGTGTTTTTCCAAACGGAGGGTATTTATGATCAATTTTATAACATCCGATTAGAATATTATTTACGAGTTGGTCTGTGACTATATATTTAAACGAAATATTTGCAGTGGGTATTATGTTTGCACTCTGATTATTTCAAAATTAACCCAATTAAAATCTATATCAAACTAATCTTTGGGAGATGAAAATAGACAAATCATGCGAAGTATTGAAATTGGAACATATACTCCTCCGTCCACAAATAAAAGTTGTCGTTCACTATTCACAGGGTCACACTTTATTTACTTTGTTGGATTATTTTCGTCATCCATTTGAGAAAATAATAAAGTAATGTCACCTCTAGTTTTGTACATCTTTTGATATAGTTTTTTAATACTTCGTGTGTAATTTTTATTTTTAAATTTTACATTATTTTTAAAATAACTTCAGTCAAACATCGTAACGCGCAACAAAAAATTTATTTGTGAATGGAGTAAGTATATAAAAGCATTATCATTAATAATCCTCCTTGAGACATTTCAACGTACAATAATGAGGCAACATGAGTTATTCAAAGCCCCCCATACCAATCACCAACCAACCAACTATAAGTCACCATCGTCTAACGCCTCCTCCGCCGTCCGATCAGCCCCGCCCAAATTCCCGCCGCCGCCGTCAGATCCGGTCAAGCTTCTCCGCCTTGACAACCGGGTTGGCCCTGGCGATCTCCTCCCTCCCCGCCGCTCTGTAGTCGAACGTGCACCCGTGCCGCTCCGGGTACCTGTGGGCCCCACAGCACGTGACCCCGCACCTGCACGTGAACCCCGTCAGCCCCACCCGCTTCCGGCAGGTCCCGCACCTGATCGGCCTACACGGCGCCGCCGTCTCCCCCGGCTCCTCCGTCGCCGTATCAGGCGCATCATCGCGCTTTAACCACAACGAAGAAGGCGCCGGGAGAGACAGGGGAAAAGACAACCCATTCGTGGGTTGTCGTCTTTTCTCTGCCGCCTCCACGGAGGCGGCAGCGTCCATGACGAAGTGCGCCGCCTCCTTCATCTGTAGCTCCTTGAGGCAATGATCCTTGTAGCACTTGGAGCACATGTCGAGGGTGGTGCTACTCCCGAAAAACCCGCAATTGTTGGCGCAAAGCCGGTGTCCTCCACCGGCTTTGTGACACTTCTGTTCCTCCCCCATCTTCTTGATCTTTTTTTTTCTTCTGCGAGAGCGGTTGATTTTTTGTTTTCGAACGAAATCAAAACAATCGCTCAACGCAAACAAAGAAAAAATTAAAGATGGATCAAAGCCTGCATGAACATGAGAATTATAGGAATTAATACATAACGTTAATTATTGATGGAAAAAAAGGTAATATGAGAAATAAATTGCTTACTTGATGGTAGGAAAAAATTAAGGGGTTATGATTCTTGGGGGAGAAAATGTTGGGAGGAGAAGGCCGGAGAATAAAGGAGATGGAGAAATGGTGGTGGCTATAAAATATTAGTGGTCTTTTTTTTAAAAAAAAAAATGGGAGATGTGATATATGGGAATGAATAAAGGCCCAACCAAGAAAAGTATGATTGCTTTGTTTGTTTATTCAACTTTATTTTTTTGGGTAACGTGTTTTTGTTGATTTTTGATATTATTCTCTCCCAAATTATTTGTCACGTGATAAAAAAATTAAATAAAAAATTACACATTGAAAAATTGCGTCAAAGTTCTTCAAAGTAAAAAGTGACAAAAAATATTTTATTAGTTTATCAAATAATCGATAAAAGCGTACAATTGAACACAATTTTGCGTAATTCTTGAATAATAAACTGTGATATTATTTTTTGGACGGATGGAACATATTCTTTACTTTGGTGTACGTTATTTGGCTAGTTTTGATTTTTTTTAACTTGTTGCAATTAAATAAGAAAAATTTTAATCATTAATTAAATATTACTTTCGCTCTCCCAATTTAAGTTACAACTTCGGTTTACTCATACTCCCTCCGTCCTATAATGATCTTCCCGGTTCGCAAAACGAAGAAAAATCCTAAGTTTTTTCAATCGATTTTATTTAAATATTGGTATAGAAATAAAAAATAAAACATACATATTTAAAAACTACACCAAAAGTTCAACAAAACAAGTGGTGACAAGAATATTTTATTTTATCATATAGGCCATGAAAAAACACAAATAAATATAAATTCTCGTGAAGTTGGAATAGTGCTCTGGGAAGATCGTTATAGGACGGAGGGAGTAATTATTTTTAATTGAATTTATTAAAAAATTAGTGTAGAAATAAAAAAATAAAAATTATACATCTAAAAATAATATCAAAAAGTTATATAAATCAAAAGATTACTATATTATTTTATCAAATGAATAACAAAAATATACAACTCCCTCCATCCTAAAACGTTCTTTTTAGTTACTATTCACACGGTCTAACTTTAATTATTTTTTTTACTTATTTTCGTTAGTTATTTGATAAAATAGATTAAATTAAAAATAAAGTCGATCAAACCTCGTAAATAAAAATTAAAATAATATTTTAAGACGGAGGGAGTATAAAAAAGGTCAAAGTTTAACTATTGCATTTCTTTGGTGTCACGCTTGTTTTGAGACCATATACTCTCTTCGTAATTCGTATAGTAACAACTGTCTTTTTTTTCATTCGTCTTTAAAAAAAAGTCATTTTTATTTTTTAGAAAAATTCCATTTATTATTATTACCTTTGTCCCAAAATGTTGTCCCTATTCAAACAATGTGTAAAATCTGAATACTTTTAAATAAGATGTGACAATATTTTATTTTATCAAATGATCATTTAAGACAAACAAACAAAAAAAATATCAAAGAATAATAGTAACAGTGCAAGTCATATATTTTGGAACGAAAAGAGTATTATTATTTTTGTTGTTGTTATAATTATTGATTATTGATGAAATAATATACACTGGGCCTAGTTGAAAAATGTGTACCCATTTGTCCCCGACCCCCTCCATCACCACAAAAAAAGGCAAGAAAATAAAAAAAAAATAAATAAAATTGAATGGTGGAGAAAGGGGTGGGAGACAAATGGGGTACACCAAATGGTGTACCCCTAGCATTCCTCTTCTTTATTCTATGACTATAACACAACTACCCACGAAATGTCGTATAATCTAACACATCTTCTCTTGTGTAGCTAAGATTTATTGTTTCTCAAAACTTGCACGTGCACAATAATTTTTTCAAACTATGTGACAGTGAGATTTAATTTCGTGACCACTTGGTCAAACTTTGTAGTCTTGAAGAGGTTTGTATGCTCTAACACACCGCTCATGTGAAGGCGTAGTCACTCCAAACCTTGCACTTGAAATCTTAATTTTATTTAATCTGTTCTTCGAACCTTGCACCTGAAATCTTAATTTACTATTCACAAGTAATATTACCTACTTGTCCGACTATTGCTGAACACTTTTTTGGACTATTGTACGACTAGGTGTTGCGGCTAAACTTATTGCAAAAGAGGGAAAGTCCGCCACCTTGAAATCACCGTCTGGAGAACTACGTTTTATATCCAAAAAATGTTCCACAATAATCGGACAAGAAGGTAATAATACTTGCGAATAGTAACTAGTAGAAGAACCAATTGCTTTGCAACAATGTGAGGGAGTAGCTTTCTTGACTGCAATTTTTTGGAAAGAATGAGATCTCAATTTTTGTCTCATTCACATATTTGATCTAATTTTGTAGATGGGAATCAACTCATATGGTAAAAGAGGTCTTGAAAATTTTGATTGAGATAAAAGATTTCCTTAAAACAAATAGGGATATCCTTTTATCCAATCAGAAAAGAAATACACCAGCAAGTAATTCTGTGAACGAAATCTAAGACCCCCAGACTCGATTCCAAAAAAGACTGAATTTAAAAATAAAATGAAATATATTACGAAAACAAAGATAATGCAAAAGGTGATGTGTGGACTGACCCTCCATAACTGTCTGTGGCCGTGTTAGTTATCACGGGTTCATAAATCGACATTCAGTTTTTTGTCTATGCTTGAGAATGTCTGATAGAACGCCTTAAAGTGTTTGTAGGCAATATCAATATCTTCTTTCCCACATATCTCTCGGACACTGCATCATGGAAACAAACAGGGAGAGTTTCTGAGACTGCCAAATATGAAGATCGCAACGAGTTACCAAGTTAAAGAAAAAAACACTAATGGCTAAATATTTTCCTAATGGTAGTGTAATTAGTGCCTTTTTGTGCTTTGTGTTTTCTCTACTTTATGTGGCTTCTTTGATCTTATATTATATGTGCTGCTTGAGCCGGGGGTCTCATGGAAACGGCCTCTCTACTTTTGAGTAGGGGCAAGGTCTGCGTACACACCCTCCCCACACCCTACTCTCGTGGATTCAACTATGTTGTTGTTGTTGATGATGATGATAGTGTAATTAGTATAATCTGTTATATTCGGATACAAGTGGATACAAGCAAACCATAATTCAGACTCCGAATAGATTGTGCGAAGTAATGAATAAGATACCTGTGCATGGATAGCTGAGCAATGCCACAATCAACGGTGCGAATACCAACCCTTGAAGCAAGTATGGGACCAATTGTTGATCCACATCCCATGTCATTTCTAGCCACGAAATCCTGCATTTCACAGCATCTAGTTTTTTCGGTTGATATTGTTGAAAAATTAGATCAAATTGTCTTGTTATTGCATGCAATGGATGTGGGCTATGTAGGTGAAAGACACTTCCAGAGTTATACAGTCACTAAAATAGTGTGCTCAATTCTATGATTAAAACTCACAACTGACTTAGAAAGAAGTAAGACCTTCTGGACATAGCATCTAAGTTTTGAAACAGATGCCTTAGCACAGCACACTCCATTACATAAGACTTGATCACTCACACAGAAGATTCAGCTTTCTAATGGCAGCATTGTGCCTCACCTTCTTGCTCAGTTAGAAACATTCATTAGAATACGTTCAATCTTTGCATTACTACCCCAAGCAACCCAGCATTATCCAGTTCTATCACTATTTAAAATTAATTAGGGCCCGTTGATATGATATGAAATCTGAAATATGGAAGAAATGATATGGATTCTGAAATGACAATATTTGGAGTGATTTGAAATCTCATATGGTTGTCAGTAACATGTGGGGGTGGCACGCAGTGGGGGCGGGTGGCCGGCGGTTCACGGAGTATTCAAAATCCTTGGATTGATACTTCCCAGAATCGAGAGATTGTGATGTCAGGAAATATTAAATCCAAACCTTGTTTAGGCTTCACCAAACACCTCTAGAGATTATAAATTTATGATATCAGAAAATATGGCCCAAATGGGCTCTTAAAGAGTAAAACAACTTTCTCAAAGATGGCTAGTGGAAGACACCAAGGGAATGTTTGGGTTCCCAAAAGGCTAGGGAAAGGGATAAAGTGAACAAGAAAGTTATTTTCCCTTTTTTATTTTACCTCAGAAAACGCAAAAAAAAAATGAAATATGATTAATACATCAAAAAAGTTTACATAGATTTAGGTTTCTCAAGTCTTTAGATATGAGAAATAGACAAATACAACACCTTCGAACAAATATCGATGTTAGATATACTAAGTTAGAACCCATGTTTAATATCCCCCACACAATTTTATATCCTTCCGAATTTCTCCTTATACTATTCTCCGCATTTTCTTTCCCTAAAGTTTTTACACAGACTCTAAATCAATTTCCATTACCTGAGTGGGAAGGTTGTGGATTCTTGCAACTTCTTTGAAAAGAATGGATGTAACTCCACTTGTTGCATAGCGCTGATTTGCATTATGTTTGATAACGAGCCCTTTCTGTAACTTTGGGTGGTGGTGCTCTTCATGCTTGTCAGTGAAATTCGGATGAACTCCATGAGCCATGTCAGCAGACACTACATCAAAATCATTTGACAAAAAGCTATCTTTGAGCTCCAAAGATTTAAAAAAATCATATTCATGGACAAAAGTTAAGCCCTGCAAGTCTCTAAGCGTGAAAAAGTAACTATTTTGAAAATGCATTATTGATAAAAGCCTGAGTTCAAACACGGTACCATTTCAATGTTTTTGAACAAATAGAAATGCGACTGAGCATCTCAAGTGTAAGGAAAATTTCTTTTCCAAAAATATTACATTTTCCAGCACTTGTCTTTATTTGATTTATGACATATGTTAGCCAACTTGGGATTCAACTGGGTTGTTGTAGCTGTAACCAGCAAATTGTGATACTATTATGAAATTTAGATTTGAAGCCCACCTAAAAAATATGACAATAGGGTTATAAACCTCTAGATTGGTCCCTTGGTTCCCCACTACATTTTATTCAGCTTAATCACATCTTTACTTAAGGGCCTATGATACGGACTGATTTCATTGTCCCACGCCGGTTAAATGGGGGACTTGGTGATGGATTTATATAGCCAAGGGTTCTCCCACCTTAACAGCTAGCTTTTAGGGTGTGACTCTCCCTTGTGTGCTATATCAATGGTATCGGAGCCAACTCGGAATGGTGGCCTACGGAGTGGTGGCCCATAGAGTGGTGGCCCACGGAGTGGTGGCTTGGTGAAACTAGCCGTGACCAACGAGGACGTTGCGTCTAATGGGGGGTCGAATGATACGGACTGATTTCATTGTCCCACACCGGTTAAATGGGGGACTTGATGATGGGTTTATATAGTCAAGGGTTCTCCCACCTTAACAGCTAGCTTTTAGAGTGTGGCTCTCACTTGTGCTATATCAATGGTATCAGAGCCAACTTGGAGTGGTGGCCTACGGAGTGGTGGCCCACGGAGTGGTGGCCTGGTGAAACTAGCCATGACCAACGTGGCCGTGACCAACGTAGTCGTGACCAACGAGGACGTTGGGCCTTATGGGGGGTCGAATGATACAGACTGATTTCATTGTCCCACACCTGTTAAATGGGGGACTTGGTGATGGGTTTATATAACCAAGGGTTCTCCCACCTTAACAGCTAGCTTTTAGGGTGTAGTTCTCCCTTGTGCTATATCAGCCTATGTGTTGCATGTCTCAAACTTAGGGTCATATATGGTGCATTAGATCATTTAGAATTGCCTCCTGGTGAAATGTGGAGTGATCTTCAACGAAGGCTCGATTTCAAAAAATTATATTCATTCAGTCGCCCTAAGGCTTTATTCTCAACAAAGGATCTCTACATATTTCGAAATAATTTATGCTTAGCTCTAGAGATGAATTGTCCTGGAAACCAAGAGTCCTATTATTTATAAGACTATTAGTAACCCCCCTTTTAATTGCCCTTTATTAAATACTTTATTCTTTGGAATGATATCAAGCTTATACTTATTATTTTTCATATTAAAGAAATGATTTCTTAACTTTGATTCAAATTATAGAAACAGACACAATTTAAATGACCACAACATCTATGCATTCTATTTTATGATGCATGAGCATTATTATGAAATTAGCGTCATCTTTCCTTCTATGCACTTTTATGATTTCACTTCAGAAGTACAGGTAAATGGACAAGTAGTTTTATAGTAGATTAAAGAAACATGCAAATGATATGTTTATAATGCAACTAAAATCAGCATTGTATAGTAACATTACAATTGTACATACAAACCAAACAAAGAGATTAGAGATATCAATACAACTAATAAAAACTAAGACCTACCAAGAAAGGAGTGGCGGATTGAACGTGCAAAAACAGATTCCCCAACAGATTGATGACCTAAGCAATCAGTTATTCTTCTCAAGGCCTCGAACAAAGTTGGTGCTCCAGCTCCTTGATATGAATCTGATCCAACCTGTAGCATGATCTGGTTAGGACATCATTTCATAAAAGTAGACAACTTGACTCCAATACTAGGGGTCACGAAACACACACAAAAATGTCATAAAATTTCATAATGCTAATCCAGTATTGGATCTTGAATTTTGAAATACCATACTTACCTCTTCATTATCGAAAAGAGCTATCATTCGGATTGCATGCTCATTCACCAAATCCTCAGGAGAAGAGCAAGAATCTACAAGAGCTCTTAATGAGCAAAAACTTGATGCAAGATTATCCAATCTTCCAGAAAATATGAATTCATTATTTGCACCTCCGAGGCAGCTAGGATGGGTATCACAAATATTTAACTCAATACTGGCTATATCACCAACCTTACAGCCCAATTCATCAGACAAGATCTGAAACATGAAATTAGAAAGACTAAACAAGAAATTGTGATACCTCACTACCATTCATTTTCACAAAATCAAAGAAAAAACACTCTAGATCGCTTGAATTAAATAATACATTTAAACGATAGGCTTGACAGATCATTAAAAAGGGGAAGTTTTCCAAATTCATTATTTTAGGCATTTGCAAAAAAAATGCCACACAATGAAATAAGAACCTAAATTGAATCATAATTTTTTACCAAATATCATTCCAAAACACAAGATAAAGAAGATAAAAAGTCTATAATATGTATTATGCCATGAGTGTTACAATTACAGTGGAGTACAGGAAGGCCATAGAACTCCAAGCAAAACTAGTAAGTCATCAAATTTCTTGGCATGCAATAACTATAATATATGGCGAGTGCCCAAGGTCAGCTTGATCTGGGAATATGTTAATAATTAACCAAAATCTGCATCACCATGCAACATACTTTGTCCTTGGAGATCTCCTACTACTATGAAATGAAGCATAACTTTGGGAAGCATACATGTCAAAAGTAGTAGAGAAGATCTAATGAGTTGAATGAACCTGCAGAAGTAGTTGATGGTGCACATCTTTTGAGGATGGTGCATTCATTTTCTCTGCAGTCTCATTGGAAATGTTCTCGGACTTTGTTGCCAACAGTGGCACAAGGTGAGTCTCAAGATTTGGCTTAAATCCATCCTGATTCACATTGCTACATACCGATATGAGAGAAGATAAGTGAAGAGAAAAAGAGGAGTCCATGCAAAATTCAGAAAATAAAATATATAGTTGAATTACTTGAATATTGAAATGTTAAGAGATATATTACTATTTCTTGATCTAAAAACACTTAGAATGACATTTAAGTCTTTACATATGACCACAAACCGGTTTAGATGAATAGCTAAAGTTGGTACTCGCAAGAGAGGTCTCTTCACTTTGACAAGCCTATGCAGGAAGGAACCATCCTCTGCTCTTAAAATGACCCTCCCAGCTACAGTAAGATCTCTATCAAACCAAGTATGCCATAAACCTCCACCATATGTTTGCACATTGACCATAAGGTAGCCAGATTTGTGTGATGCAGATATTGGCTTCAGCTTCATACATGGGCTATCTGTATGAGCTGCAATTATATGAAATCCGTTCCCAACTGAATGCCTGCAAGGTTAGGGTTAACTTATGTTTCATTAATATAGAGGCAAAAAGGGTAATGATTCTCTATTTACTCCCTCCGTCCAAAATTAGAAGTCCACATTTAGTTCAACATGGAGTTCTAAAAAAGTGAAACTGTGTGGTTGAAACTTGAAAGTGATGGAAAGAGAAAATATATGAACCAGAACCACAAATACTTTCCCAAAAGTGGAAAGAAGACTATTTTTTGGGGACGTCCCAAAAAGGAAATGAGGATTATTAATTCGGAGAGAGTATTAATTAAAAACTATGGAGTATTAACTAACTTAATTATTTAAAGAATGCATTCCTTGGACATGGAAAAAGATTGTGTCGCTAGAAACTCTGGAACTATAGCCTGTCTTACTCACAGTCACACATAAGCAATAGCCACAACATGCATTGCCCAAATATGACATCGGAACCACATGTGCTGGTGTGTGAGAGTTTGAGAGTAATTCGAGCACCGGAATTTTTCAGTGTCAACTTCCTAAGGTCACACACCCCAACACTCTATTGAACTTTGTTAAGGTATTCACCATTCTCGTAAAACTTTTTGCTTTTCACTTTATAAATTTCTAAAGAGCTGTTTGAGTTGTGGTATTTTTCCTTGTTTAATCTTATGGACCCATCACATCTTGAAAGTGATAGGATTCAAGGCTTCTACATCCTACACCTGTGAAATAATGGTATGACAATCGAGGTTCTCTTTACACTAGACCTGATTTGGTCTTTCATGAATAAACAAAGCTCATTGAAGTTGATTAGCAATTTGCTTTTGAATAGGCAACCATGATCAAAATCATAATTGCTTTTGTATGTATTATAATAATTTTGTCACATAAAAAACATGTACTCGAGAGTATAATATGTGTATTATATGTACGAGTATATAATATGCGAATAATGAACGCATAAAGTAACAGAGCCCAATAGCCCATACATCTATGTTATACAAAACTTCACTACCAAAATATGCAGTAACTTAAAACAAGATCCCCAGGATGGGGTAGCCCACTAGAAAAAACCCCTAGGCTGCTGCTCTCCCTTGGTAATGACTATTTAGTCAATCGTCACGCGGTTCCCACTTTCAAAATGTTCCAAAACCACACGCCTCTTCCACCTACGTCCATTTAAAAAAGATATGTGTCGTGTATGTTAGTATGTACAACGAGAAGAGAAAATAGTGTGCCTCTTGGCCTTCTCAAAGTACAGTTCAATCATGATTAGGTGCCCCACTGGGAGTATATGTATATAATTATATATGTATGCCCGTTCTAGAATTTACATTATTGGCTTATCTTATTGAGAATATTACACAAATCAAAAGTGTTGTGTTAACAAAATGCGTCTTGAGGCCGTTAACGATGAGAGAATTGAATGAGATTTTCTAAAACTTTGCAAGTAAAATATTTTTTTTATTAAACTCCATAGTAATTGTGTATACTATTTAATTTCTTTCAAATACTAATAATAAGTTCTTAAACAAAGTGCAACATTAACTTTTAACGTAGAGGTTTGTTGCATTTATTATTTTTATGTGGTTGGTTGTTCTTATTTATTTAATTTACTATTTCTATTCAATTAGTCTTTGGAACCATGATTATATGATTGTTATACAATAATATTATCTCAAGACTTATGTGAGTGTTCTAGTGTCTCTTTATTCAAAATCAACCTAAGTAGCCATTTTATCAAATTCGAAGGAAAATTTCTGTCAGCCTCAATACTACTCCCTCCGTCCCGCTGTCTTTGTCCACTTACCTTTTGGCACACCATCCAATGCACTTCTTTAATCCATTTTATCTTGTAATTTGTATATTAAAAAATTATAGAAATTATATATTAATAATCTATATGTTAAGACAAATCAAACAAGATCACACATGACTATATTTAGGCTTACACATTGAGAGAATTTGATGAGTCAAAGTGCTTAGATGAACAGTTTCAAAAGTCAAAAGTGGACAAAGACAGTGGGACGGAGGGAGTATATACCAAGACAAAATATGCTTTGGAAATATTCCTAACGGCATAATCATTGAAGATGGTTGTCTTAGACTTCTTTCTCCCGTGGCGTTCACAAAGTTCAATAATGATCTTAAAGACCTTTATAAAGCTTTTCAATAATGATCTTAAAGACCTTTATAAAGCTTTGAACTGTCAGGTTATTTTTTAATCAACTTAATGAAGAGGAGGTGCTTTAAAAAAATGTTGAACAAATTAAAGATCTTGTCTAAAGATTGGAACAAATATCATTTTTTTATTTTAATGTTATTATTTTATTCAACTACGCTATGGTATACATGTATCTAAAATATATAATTACAGCAATATTGACGAGTTCTTATCTAGAGTCATTTGGATTCTAGATTCTCCAATGTTTTACTCCACTGTTAAGAGTGTAAGAATTATTGAAAATCTCTTTGAGATTGTTTATCAAGCAAACTTGTTGCCCCAGGCAAGATTGAACTCCTCCTTTTTGTGACAAATCACAAACAAGAGAGCATTAGGTCGTTGGATGATGATTGGCCTGATCATTGGCCTCAACTCTAAGATCTTTCAATGTGATTTTAGTATTTTATGGAGTGAATCAAAATAATGTTGCCAATTGATACAGTGGCCGGGCGTCATTCGACACAATGTTTTTTCTAAGAAATGTCATAGAGGCTAGAGCATTATATATTCAATAAAGTAATTAAGAAATTACCTTTTTATATATACCTAAGGTATGCCTAAGCAATTACCTTCTTAAATATATAATGCTTTATGGCATTTCTTAGAAAAGAATGGTGTCGAATAGCGCCCGGCCAGACAGCAACATGACGGCTCCAACAACTAATTGAATAGAAATAGAAAATTAAATAAAACAAAAGCAACAACATAAAAATAATAAATGCAGTAATGTAAGTCAAAATTCTGGTTGCACTTTTGTATAACAACTTATTATTAGTATTTGAAATAAATTAAATAATATACATACAAATTATCTAGACTATGAAAAAAATATTTTACCTACAAAATTTCATAAAATTTGAATCAATTCTCTCCTCGTTAATGGCTCTAAGACGCATTTTTCTTACAAAATACTTCATGATCTGTGTAATATTCTCTATAAGTTAAGCCAATAATGTAAAGTAAATGTAAAAGTGGGCATACATATACACATACTCTAGTGGGGCACACAATCATGATTCATGCCAAAAAATGATTGAACAATAGGCATGCTATTTTCTCTTCTCATTGTACAAATGCGACCCATGTTCTTTTTTAAGGGACGTGGGTGGAAGAAGTGTGTGGTTCTAAAACCTTTTGATAGTAAGAACCGCATGGCGATTAATTGGATAGACAATACACAGAGAGGGCAACTGCCTAGAGGTTCCTTTCTAGTGGGCTAGCCCATCCCGGAGATCTTTTTTTTAAATTACTCCATATTTAGGTAGTGAAGTGTTGTGTAACATAGATGTACGGGCTTCGTTACTTTATGTATCTATTATTCGCATATTATATACCCGTACATAAAATACACATTATACTAATGAGTACATATATTGTATGTGAAAAACTTATTATAATACATACCAAAGCAATTAAGAATAATATCCACATGATTTTCAAGACAATAAAGCAATTAGGAGATCTCTAGTGACTTGTTGTTACATACGAAGTATATGTAGATTATAATAGTGTGGTGATGTTACCCTAACCTAACCCTAGATACATGACTTTAGTACCCTTTAACCTTAGGTTATATGTATAAGCAAGGGTCCTTATGTATTAAGTATTAACTATAGAAAGCTTCTTGCATGATAACATTTTTATCCTTTTAAGCTGCATAATTCAATGTGAAAATGGGAAAATAACACATTTGTGATACATTAGTCTGCAAACAAGATTGTGTATGATAAAGAGTGACACCTTCTAACTGGAATATAAGTGACATTTTCTCACTTTTTCCCAATGGCAAAGGCAACCAATGAAGACATATTCCGAGTGAAGAAGTATCGCCCACCGGGCTTGAGGTCCCATTCCTCATTCTCATTCAGCAAATGGAACCCAGCAGCAATCAATTGTCGTTTTGCTTCCGCTATTAAAATGAAATCATCATTAACAACAACACCGTAATCTCAAATAATTGGGGTCAATGGCACATTGGTGTGAGACCCTTACTGCAACAACTACCCGGTATAATCCCAACTCTGTTGGGTTCTCATTGGAATTGTGTGTTTACCAGCAATTTACATTATCCTTATGCTTCAATATGTTTTGGAATTGATTGGAACTCAGAGCATACAACAGAGAAATTCAAAACTTTTAGATCATACCTGTTGCGTGGAACTGTGTCCATGACTCATTGAGGTAATCCAGAAAGTCCCCAACAATGGAAGAACTCGATTCAGAAGTCACCAAATCCTGAATTGAAATCAACTCTTGTAAACGAACAGAGCTTGGCATATAAGTATGAATAATACTGTATATATAACAGAGGGAATGCGTGTGCCTGTGAGGAATTAACCTCCGGGACCGCCTCAGGCGAGAAGGAGCAGAGCGACGGAGTGTGGGACAAATTGCGGAGGCGAGCGGTGCGGAAATTTGGCTTGACGGTGGAGAAACGCCGCAGGGAGTGACGAAACCCCGATAATAGCATCGACGGTTTGTAGATCGAAGAGGGATAAAGGTGGAATGGAACGACCGGCGCCATTTTCACCTGAAGGCTGAGCCCGCTACCTGTGCAATGGCAACTGTCTAAAAAGACGGTAATTGGCAAATAGGTGGGTCAGTTCGGTTTCAGCCATTTTAAGTTTGGGTTTTTATTGGGTTCGGGTCATTTCGAGTTCGGGTTGAAAAGTGTATGTTCATGATTAAGTGTCATCGGATTCGGGTTGACTCAACAGGTTATGACTTTAGTTTTTTAAAATTTTAAAGTCACATTAACACTTACATTTTTTATTAAATAAATTTAAAATATAAAAAAAATTATTAAATTTATAAAATTATTTTATTTTAAACTTTGAAGTATTTTTTAGATATATAAATCAATATAAGGAATTTATAAATGCTTATGTTTTGAAAAAAAAGTAAGATAATTATGCAATATCATTAAAATTTTATCTGGAAATATAAATTTATACACTAAAAAGATTAGTAAAGTGTATAATTTTGAAAATTTCTAACTTCAACGGGTCGGTCAGGTCGGGTTCGGGTTCGATCGGGTTAACCCATTTTAAGCGGGTCATTTTGGGTTCGGTTAAGTTCGGGTTCGGTCATCAAAACATTTGTTCAAAACTCAGTGTTTTCAGGTCGGGTTTCGGGTCAAAAACAGGTCGGGTCACTTTTTGACAGGTCTACTTGGCAGTTGTCACCTTCCACTCCAATTTCGGTATCCAAATTTAACACAAAATTACTCCTGCTTTTTCTAAGAAGAATACTAGGGGTACCCCAAATGTACACTACCCTCTTAATTATCACTTATTTTTTATTTATTTGTTTTTTATTTTACATGCCAAAATATGTGGCAATGGAGGGGGTGGTGTACATTTGGGGTACACTTTTAGTGTATCCCTGGCATTTTTGTTTTTCTATTAAGAATTTTTAGATGCCAAATCCCAAATTATCCTTCATTTTCTATTAAGAATTCTTAAATCCCAAATTATCTAAAATAGTCTATGTGTTATTAAAATTTATGGTAATGTACACTGAATTACATTCTGTCTATTTGGTTATTAAGATTGAAACTTTCATTACTTTTACAAATACTAAATTTTATATTAATAGTCATTATTTTATTAAAAGAAATCTACTTGGATAGAAGTAAAAAAAGTATGCAAATACTAAAATAGAAGTCTTAAGTCTTTTATAACCAAAATAAGAGTATAATGATAGTGTAATGTAAGAAGGGGTTACTCTCTAGATACGAGTAAAAACTATGAAAATACCAAAATAGGAGTCATAAATCTTTCAAGACCAAAATAGAAGTTCACGATATCATTGGTACATTGTCACGCTCACCACATTGTCACATTGTAATAGTTACATTATCAACGTCACACTGTCATCCGTCGCCGCTGGCCATCGGAGTACCGCTGCAAATCATCGACGCTTGAATAATCGCATTGACATATTATGTTGTCATCACTTTTCTATCACACTATCAATGTGTATTCTTACACCACATTGCCATTATACTCATCTTTTGGTCTTAAAAGACATAAAACTCATATTTTGGTATTTTCAAACTTTTTTACTCCTATCCAAGGACATTTCTTGTCTAAAAATACGCGTAGGCAGTGTGAGAAAAGTGATAATAGTGAAATATGTGAGTGTGATCTGCCAACTGTCGACGATCCATGGTGGCACTAGGTGGTCGTCGACGACAAATGACAGTGCTGCGGTAGTAGTGTGGCAGTTATATTGTGATGAGCATGTCAGTGTAAAAATCTATTTTAATTTAAAGGATTTAGGGCTCCTATTTTAGTATTTTCATAGTTTTTTACTCGTACTTAGAAAACTCTCCATTTTGTTAACTTTTATTAAAGTCTATCCATTTGTCAAAGTAACCGATGTTCCAATCCTAACAACTAAATGGACAAGATGTACTCACATAGCATAATTTCATAAATTTTAAGGGCCACAAAATATAATTCAGATAAGAACTTAAAAATTCTTATCAAAAAAATTGAGAGTATCGGAACACAATTTGGGAATATAATTCGAGTAATGCTAGAGTTACAAATAAACATTTCACAAAATTCACAAACTTGCATTTTTAATAGTTTCCTAGAAATAAGATACACTCAAATAATAAAAGATATTTTAATTTAAAATCCACGAAAGATAAATTTATGAAGTTTGTGATAATGAAGGAAAAGGTTTAAAAGAGAGCGTCAAAAGATTTCCTAAGATTTGGATATGGATCATGCTAGGGCGCCACCACATAGGTGCTACCATGGATGCACTCATGCTTTGCACAGACAAACACAGACGATAATTGTCTGTGCAATACAGACAATTATCGTCTGTATTTATCTGTGCAAAGCATGGATGCACCCATAGTAGCACCCATGTGGTGGCACCCTAGTATTTTCTTTTGGATATAATCATTCAATTTTGTCATGAATTTTAAGGAGTGAACTATTCAGTTTTTTTTTAACAAACGATTCAGTTAATTTACTCTCTCGACCTGCGTATATAAGTAAGCGTGTTCTGAAGATCTTCGGAAGAATAATCTGTAGAAAGAATTTTGGGATATTGTTTTCAAATTTGATGCCCGAGAGATTCAATTGAATTCGGATAAGGAAAAGCATAGCATTGGATTCATCATATCACTCGTCGCCGGATCGATCGATGGCGAAGGAATTCAACGTCCCGCCGGTAGTGTTCCCGTCGGGAGGAAACCCGGGCCCACAACAGAGGCGCCTGCCGACGGCGCCGTTTCAGCCGTCCAAGGCGTCGACGCCGAGCATCCCGTTCATGTCATTCGACATCGGCTCCGCCGCCGCCTCCTTCTCCACTCCCCAGTTCGCCTCCGCCGCCACGGGATTCGAGGACGAACCGCCGCTTCTGGAGGAACTGGGGATCAACACCAAGCAAATTTACCAGAAAACCCTCTCGATCCTCAATCCCTTCCGCGTGAAAGCCTACCTCCACGAGGACGCCGATCTGTCCGGTCCTTTCCTCTTCCTGATGGCCTTCGGCCTCTTCCAATTGCTCGCCGGAAAGCTCCATTTCGGGATCATCCTCGGCTGGGTGATCGTGGCTTCTTCATTCCTATACGTCGTCTTCAACATGCTGGCCGGCCGGAACGGGGATCTGGACCTGTACCGGTGTGTGAGCTTGATCGGGTATTGCTTGTTGCCCATTGTCATCTTGTCTGCAATCTCTCTGTTCTTGCCCGGAGGGACGGTGATCAATGTCGTAGCCGGGGTGTTTGTTCTCTGGTCTACAAGAGTCTGCACTAAGCTTCTGGTTGAGTTGGCTTCTTGCGGGGATGAACACCGCCGCCTCGTCGCGTATCCTTGCTTCTTGATCTACACATTTTTCTCTTTGCTTGTGATCTTTTGATCCTTTTTTTTCTTGGCCTTTATGATTATATTTGTTATTCTATGCATGGAACCCAATCTTTCTTGACATTGGGTTTCAATTTAGGGGTGAATAGTGTAGTTTGAAACTTCTCATTGACAATAAACATGCAATGCTAACATTCTATTTTGGCTTCTTTTTGCTTATAAGGTCTAAAGTTTTTGTTAGTTTGTTCCATAATTGGTGTTTTTAAATAGCACCATGCAATGTTGTGAGACGTAGCGAAATGTCCCGAGACAACGTGTGAGTGAGATGCAACCACATGTAACACAATGTGTCCATACTACTCAACGATTTGAAAATCAACGATTTTAACTGAAAATGTGTCGTAAGAAAATCATTTTGAACGCATATGTTAAAGCGGCTCCGATTTTGGATTTATGTCGTTAGGTTTCGATATCAAACCCGAACATACCATGGACCCCATTCTATACCTTAATGGTGATCTTTCTTAAACAAAATACCTTAATGGTAATTGTCATCTCATGTCCTTACATTTAAAGAAGTATAAAACACTAATCAAATGAAATACTTTCTAAAATTCAAATATATATATATATATATTAATCAAGACTCAAGAGACAATGAAGATAATAGATGTGTGAGGACATGACTCACAAAAGTTATACATCATACCACCTATGTATGAGGAAGAAACCTCCTCCTCAATCTATCAACTTCCTTATCACTCAATGCAAAACTCTTCATCAACAATTCTTCTCTTATAGAACTTCCAAACAGGGCAATGGGGAGTTTCACGAGCCCCGGGTTTTGGCTATTAAAACTCCCTAGTATAGCCGCGGGTGAATCCCCGACATTCATCTGAAAATGAACCAATCCCCTTGGGAACACCATCACCTCCCCTCTCTCTAGCACTCTCGCAAAAACCCTGTTTGAGGAATCAACGAACCCGGAGTAGATCCTACCTTCCAGCACAAACATTGTCTCTGTGGCCCGCGGATGTAAATGTGGCACGTTGACGCCCCCAACGTCAAAATCGGCCCGAACGAACGACACGCCCAACGTGTGTAGGCCCGGGAAGACAGCTGAGTTCACCTGATTCGCAGCAAACCCGGTATGCTTGTAGTCCCCCGGGACTTTTATGCCTGAATGGACAAAGTCCTCGACAGTGACGACTGTCGAGTTCTTGCATGACGGAAAAATAGATGAAAATTCTGGAATCGGGATGCAGTAGTCGAGGAGAGGATCGGGATCCGATGCTAGGACATCTCTCTTGATCACTTGAAGGAGGAGGAGAAGAGATAAGCAGAAATAGGCTGTTTTAATGCCCATGGCTATGTTGTTTGTCTCAATATTATTCAAGAATGAATGGATGAATGTTTAAAGAATATATATATATATATATATATATATATATATATATATATGGGTATTTAAAGTACTAATTAGCACTGATCAACCAAACACACAACTACCGCATAGGGGCATGTACCTTTTGCTTGGAGTTTATTGATAAAGTTTGATAAGAAAAGAGTATTTATTCAACCCAAAAAAAGAAGTCTTTATTCACAAGAGTCCAACTCTACCAGATGTATTATTATTATTATTATTAACTAAATTTAATATGCCCATATAGAAAATAAAACAAAGGAATTTATGATGAAAAAAAACTTTTATTCACATTGGAGTTTTGTTTAGGACAAAAATAACTTTAGAAGTATGAACTCTTTTTACGGGACTCAAGAAGTGAGTATGAGAGTAATTCTTGAATTTTACATTTTTCTTTTTGGAATATCTCAAAATAAAATTTATAATACATATTTACTTTTCTATTGGAGTATTGAGAAAAGAAACATGTATGTAGCTCATAACATTTTACTCATTTTTATACAAATTTTAGGGATAAAGATAAAAGTAGGAGTAAAACATTGAAAATATATCAAAATAGAACTTTCATGTTTTTATTCCCGAAATAAGAGTTAAATTGCATTTACATTACCAAACATGGTCATGTACATTACCAAAAAGTATAGTAATGCGCACATCTACAGTGTCACGTTACCACAGTGCGAAGTCTTATTTCGAGAATATAAAAACATGAAAGTCATATTTTGATATTTTTCTTTATGTTTTAATCCTATTTAGGATGATTTTTACAAATTTTAACGAAGTCTTATTTCGAGAATATAAAAACATGAAAGTCATATTTTGATATTTTTCTTTATGTTTTAATCCTATTTAGGATGATTTCTACAAATTTTAACTATATGGACCAGGTATGTTCATTTGATTTTTTTTAAAATTTCGTGAAATTAAATTATAAATTTAATGTGTATAAGTTTAATGTGGGAGAGACGGACAATGTAAATGTTGAATGTTTGAATAGAAAGAATTGTTGAGTAGATATTGGTAAGTCATGTGATGTGCATTTGAAGTAATGTTCTTTGCTCGCCAATAAAGACAATGTATTATCAAATTTATCATGATGGCCATCACCCAACACCTTATCTTTGGAGCCTAATTGGTCTCGCCATTCTAATTTAAAAAATAAAAAAATGTACATTTAGTAAATAAATTTTTATTTTTTTCAATGTCATTTTAAGAAATTAATCCATAATAAATTACTCGTCCAACATAATAAAAAAATTGTGGACCTTATACATGAATTATATAGGCATTCCTTATGTTTGGGTTATCATCTACTTCGTATTTTTTCACTAGTAAGTGTCAATATGTATATCACATAATATATTAAAAACAATAAAGACAAATTCTTATGTGGTCTTTGAATTTATACTCATTTTATAGACATTAATACACAAGTATCATATATAGAAATCACTCTTAATAGGACTAAAACATAGAAAAAAATACAAAAATAAGAGTTCTATATTTTTATTCTCGAAATAAGACTTCGCACTATGGTAATGTAGTTGTAATGTGGTACTCTGCATGTGCACATTACTATACTTTTTGGTAGCATACATGATCATGTTTGGTAATATAAATACATTTTAACTTCTATTTCAGAAATAAAAACATGAAAATTCTATTTTGATATATTTTTAATATTTTACTCCTACTTTAGTCTTTTTCTCTACCATATAAGAGTTGAGCTTTTTACAAAAAGAAAATAAAAGATCTACGTGTAATTCCATAAAAAGTGAAAAAGCCTCCGTTTCTCATGAGGACCTTAGAACCACAAAAGTAAAACTCAATAATAAAATAGTGTAATTTAAATATCTCATCCCCACCCCGCAACTAAATTTATACCTTGTGTGCACATCAATTTAGTGCACTATCTCACATAAACTTTTATTTTTCTTATTTTTAAACAAAAAATATAAATACTGATCAGGATAGTAAACATAGTACTCCCTCCGTTCTCAAAAACACTTCCTCTTTAATTCTTTTTACTTCCAACAAAACACTTCCACTTTCTATTAAAAAATCACTTTTACCCTTACTTTTTCATACCATACCTATCACATCATACTTTTTCTCTAATACTCAATCCATCACATCTTATTTTTATCCATCACATCAAGAGCAAAATTAGAAGTCAACTACAATTTAATATTTCCTTATTTTTACACAAAGTCAAAATAGGAACACTTTTATAGAACAGAGGGAGTATTTACTTATTAGCAAAATATATGGTGGACATAAATTCTATCATGGATCTACATACAAAATTATCATTTTTTACTGCTTAAATAAGCATCCATTTTTTTGATAAAAAAAATAAATTTTTTATGTGAGAAGGTTCACAAAAATAATTTGCACCCAAGGTGTAGTGGTGTACCATAGAACTGATAGAAGCACCCTTATTACCTTCGTCTTTAGGTGGACAATGCATCTAAAGTCCAGCATAGGATTTGTTGTAACCCTTGACTTTCACATAGTTTAGTAGAGTTAAATTTGGTGTTTAATTACTCTCCTCTAATGTCATTAATAAAGAGTAGTTAATTTGCATAATTGCATGAGGTATGATCCAGGCGGTCTAGCCGTTGGGTTCATCCAGAAGATTAGTCATGGATTTATGGGTCGGGCCTAGTCAACCTGACTTGATTGCTGATTTGTTAACCCCACTTTGCTAGCATGGCAACACTATCAGCCAAGAATCATATTAGGAGTACCCCAGTCTTGACACCACCTCTTACATATACCTGCACTACACTCTTTCATGTCTGAGAATGGTGTCAAAACTGGGGTGCCCGCGCTTAATTCATCAGCTAAACCACGAAAAAGAACCCAATAACTAAGAGGTAAAGTATGAAACTGCTTACAACGTTTCTTATAGGGTCAAACGGGAACATTTGGCAAAGCATGTACGACACCAACATCAAGTCCTATATTGTGGAGGCACTTTCACCATTTTTTCTGGAAAATGCTAGGGTGCCACCACATGGGTGCTACCATGGGTTCACCCATGCTTCGCACAGACAAACACAAACGATAATTGTCTGTGTCGCAGACAATTATCGTCTGTGCGAAGCATGGGTGCACCCATGGTAGCACCCATGTGGTGGCACCCTAGCATGGTCCTTTTTTTCTTGTCAAACCATTACCGTTAATAAGCTAAAAGTGTTTTTTTTATTATTTTCAATTAAAAACGGTTACTCCTTGAAATATGTCATCCCAAATGCTCTCCACATTACGTTACAAGACATTTTCTTTTGACTTTTGAGGTGTATGAGAAGTGATGAAGAATTAGACAGATATAAAACATGAAAGGTTGAAAGAATTCCAAATGACAGAGGATAATCCCACGAATTTATTGATGACAGAGAAAAGGAGAGTCACACTCACAGCCGGTTACACTGAACATGTTGCATGCACACCAGCATATATGTAAAGTTGGAGAGTTCTGCCTCTGTTTTTTTGGGTTAATATACAGAAGATATCGGCAAAATAAGGTCGACACAAGTCCTTGCATAGTGGATTGGTAGAAGAGTTCTTTCATCGGGGCACATAATTAGATACTGATTAGTAGCTGTCTTCATCCGTTTCAGGTCTTCTGAGGTAGTAGCGCAGGCAATTTACCAGAACCTACATTTTAACTTAACTTGTAAGGCAGATATATAGATAGAAGACATTAGAAGGAAAGCAGAAGCAAGAGGTGAGATGGATTTGTGTTCAGTTGGGTTGAACGATAAACATACATGCATTCAATTGGTGATTTAAGACTAGTTTGAGACTAAATTTTAGTCGTCCGGTCGTTTTGGAGAAGGAGAAATGCTGGGCGACCAGCGCCTATGGCCGACTAGGCTTCTAAGCGCGCTAGGCGACGCTTAGCCGCGACTAGGCCACGCCTAGTCGGAGAAAGAAATCCGCAGAATTTGACCTAGTGACCCGACCCAACCCGACCTGACCCGACCCAAATTTCATTAATTTTAAAATTTTTTAACAAAACGCTCCTTCGGCTGCCTCCTGCGACGCAATCCGCACACAATCGAGTCGTCTTCCAGTTCCGGCGTTCCTTCCGCGACCGCGACTTCCAGGCCACCAGCGAGGCAGCGACTATCAACCATCCGATTATCTTCCAGCGACTCTAAGTTTTCTTATAGTTTGTTATCATTAAAGTATTTCTTTTAATTTTTTTCTTAAACTGAAATAGTCGGATGATACACTTGAAATAGTCGGATGTTATCATTAATTTTTTCTTTTAAAAAATTGAAATCTTANCATTAAACAATAAAGTATGATATACTTTAAAGTTTTCAGTTTTTTTTATTTTTTTAATATTTCAGTTTTTTCAGTTTAATTTTTCAATAAAGTATTTCAATTTTATTTTCAGTTTAATTTTTCAATTTTTTTCTGAATTTAATTGATATTTTGGTTTTGTATTTCTTATTTTAATATTTTAAGCGTTCTAGGCTCTTGTTAATTATCTTTCTTGGTGTGTTATTTTTCAAGATTGAAGGATATTTGCTTGTTATGTACTCTTTGTTGACTTTATGTGCTATCTTTAAACATAAATTTGCTTTGGTTATGGTATTTTGACATATAAATATATATATATTCTTGTTGGGTTAATGTAGATATATATAATGTTAAAAATTTCAATACTAATTATGATTTGTCGACTAGTCTACGACTAGTCGCCTAGTCCACTAGTCTCCCCGTCACCGACTCGACTCGACTTGTCGACTTGACAACCATGGTTTGGTTAAATTGTGTATTTCTATATAATTTTTCATCCTCCTCTCTTTCCAACCACCTAATGTAGGAGTGAAATAAATCATTTAATATTACTCATTCACTCATCTCCTTATGTGGGGTATGTTTTGTGTGCAATCAGCCAATCACCAACTCTAGGTGATTGATGGCTATGCACAAATGCTTAAGATAAGAAAACGATTGTTTATAGGTTTACCTGAGACAAGGAATTGTTCAATGCTGCCCCTCTATAACTGACATAAAACTTGTCTTTCGCTATAAGGCCCTACATAGAAAAGAAGAAGATAAACATCAGTCGGGACTAAGGAAACACATATTTGCATCCACTTTCATACACCAGTGGCGTCTATAGAACATACTTCTGTATCAATTTCAGCCGATTCCACATCAATATTGACATCACCCATAATTTTGATTATTTCCATCAGCAGCCCGGATCGATCAGCAGTTTCGACATATAGCATGCTGGAACGGAAAAATAAAAGGCCCGTGTAAGCTAAAAATGTTAGGTCAACCTATATTAGTGAACAAGAACTTCATTGAGAGTTGAAACATGGAAGAAACTAAAATTTAGCATGAGAACACCATAACATAGTTATATCTATAGCACCACTGCGCAAGGAATCTTCACCTCCTCTTACTTCCTTCGTTCTCAACATGAATGTGGGTTGCAACATCTATGTCAGGCTGTCATGATTCAAAAAGTCAAATTCCCAAGGGCATATTACTGTAGTGCATTTATACTTTTGAACAAGATAAAATATTGTCAAGAAACTTATAGTCAACAACTATATTATCTTAATGAGACTTTGAATAATCTGATAGCACCTTAGGGTATTTGTGTATAAAACAAATGTGAATAATGGAAAACAAATCAACCAAGCATAAAAAGTAGGGGCACAAATACTGTACATTGTTAAAGAGCAGAGCATGCACAGAATGCATAGCTTTAAACTTAATTCACCTTTACAGCACATGCACATGCTCCAACCCTTCATTATGTATAGGGTGTTTTGTGTATGTGTTTTGTGAGACTGCGGCCTGCAGGTTCTAAGTATTAGTAAAAGAGTGTTCTCTTGTGTTCTATTATTTTAAATGGTATGAGAGCATTTTACCCCATTATCAATTCTTGCCTTGTTGGCACCAGAGCATTGTGCTCTGTCATCATCTGAGGCCGTTATAAGGAATTACGTCTCAACATTTACAAGGAACATTGTTGGAAGTTGCGTAGAAAATATCCTATTGTCAGTTGTGATTAGTTCCATGGAGAAGGACATGCTTGAGAGCTTTGTTGGAGCATCCCTACTACAACAAACATTTCTCTAAAGCAAACAGAAGATTCAAATTATCATGCTATCCCAAAACTCAAATATAAAGAGTTCTTGTTTTACTAGACAGCTAGTCATGTTCACTCAAAAAAGAAGAGAGCTAGTCCTATTAGTGCTCCCACCGACCACCACCAATGTTTCTGTTGTTACGCTGTTGTGGCCAATACTTCATTTCCTACCACCACTTTGTTGAAGTTTATTAAAGAAGTGTTCATGTATTTGATTCTTCCACAGAAATGCCGATGTTTGAGTGTTCTAAATAAAGGTGTTAAAAATGATAAAATGAAGGCATTTAAAGTTCAAGTGTTTTCAGAGGAGTGTCATTAGTTGAGATGATAGATATCAAGCTTAAAACATTATATATGCCTCAGCTTGAGCAGGGGAGTCTCGTTAGTTCACGTGAAAGGCTAGTTGGTCTTGGTTGCATGGCCTTAAACCCCTAAGTCCATTTGGGTTAGTCTCATTCACTTTTACAGCACATACCCAATGACCCAATATTGTTTCACATCTATTTAGCATGTGTATGACTTGTGTGTGTATTAATAAGTATCTATAGAAATAATAGAACTATAAAAGTGTTCCTTTGTATTTCTATATTATCTAGAACAAAGTTGTTGTACAAAAGTCCAGGATGTTAGAAGGACAGGGTTACTGGTGTTGAAGGGTTTTGCAAGAGACATGGTTCAGATAGGAACATAAGATTGTGTGTAGATAATTGAGCTACTAGCTGGATGGTAATGGTTAAGAAAGGTTCAGGACTGTCACTTAACCTATTATTTTATACTCAACATAGAGGTATAACTGGCATAATGGCAAATCTTAGCCCAACATTTGTGTGGGTGGGATGAAGTCTCCATCAATGGGGTTGTTACTTGAATAATTTTGTGCTGATCATTATGTGTAAAAGGAATAACTTATTTTAAAAAAATGCATGAAGTGGTAGAGAGAGAGAGAGAACACTGTGCTGGAATTTCTGAAATCATCAACATACCACTAGAATGTTGAATACATACACAGATGGGGGGGATTAAGTACGAGTAGTTTCTAGACCATTCACCTTCTTTTCTGGTGCTTTTATTCCAAATGCTTCACCCATAGCAAGCCACGCGCTAGACTCCTGATAGCACAATAGGCTAGTAATTATCGAGGAAAAAGAATCTAACAATCACAAGAAACATGTGAAGTGCAGAGAAAGATACTAATGATGCAATCCAGTCATGTCCTTTTTAGCTTTAGAATTCAAAGGGTAAGGAAATCAATTAGGTAAACATACTGGGTGATACTTGATCAGGTTGTTGATGATGGTCAACCGAATTCTTTCTAGCAAATCAGGATCATCAACTTTTCGCCCAGTTGCACTAAATGAAAACAACTACAGTCAATATAAAATATGCAAAAAGGAAAAACAGAAATGAAAAAAAAATGCATGTTAAGGTAATACTCTCTTCTGCAAAATGTCTACCAGACATCAAAGAATTTATTTATGCTTGATTCTATACACTAATACACATAACAAAACTAAATCAGTTCTTAAAAAAAGGAATAGAACTCGTGTTTGATTAAGATACAACATTTATATTTTGGCTAGGTGCAATTGTTAAAAGCCATGAAACCATATTTTTATTCTTAAAATATACGGAGTATATAACTTTTTTGGTAATTAGTACATCTTGTCACTTCAGATTGCAACGGGAATGGGATCATACGGAGTTTGTTGTTGTTGTATAACATTTTTGGCAATTTAATGAAAAATTACACGAAAAGATTGCCACTGTTTGCGATTAATATGATTCTTTTTTGGATCCAAGAGCTTATGAAATAGGACACTTTTTAGATGGGGGAATCGTAACCTTCATCTGAATCACACCAAATAATACAAGTATGAGAAAAAGAATCACACTCTTCTGGCTGGTATTTTAAAATGAAACGATTTCATTCAAGATGACAAATCAAGGATCAGATGTTTGAAATGTAAGACTAATTTTTTCTCACTAATTTACAATGGCAGTAATGGATTGGTCACTTACGGTCGTGTAATATGAAACTTTGTCCGTTTAACGGAGCCCTCAGTAGTAACAATGCCTTTCTTAACATCCAAGCCTAAGTCGTTTAGTGCCTTCATCTGAACTACAGGAGAAAAGAACTTATTAGTTGAGATCTGTAAGGTTGCATGTATCCTTGAAAAAAATTACATTAGAAATTTGGAAGAGTTTACACACACCCAAACCACTAACCAACTGACAACTAAAGCCAGTAGATTACAAGTGATTTGAGAATGTATGCACAAACAAACAAATGTTGTGTATATTGTATAAAGCACTTATAGCAAGACACTTGTTAATTGCAGCATCTTAAAAGGTAACAGAATACTGAATTAGAAAATTAATTGTTTCCAGACACCTCTTTTCATGTTTGTGTGAATAGTTTAAGATTGCCACTGTCCTCTCAGTCTTCATCCCACTTGAATAATACTCAAATATGGATGAAGGGTGATAGCAATGAGGATAAAACAAATGAAATCAGCGAAAATTGTATTCTGTATATTATTATAAATCCTCATAGGCAAACATAAGTGTGCTCTACTGGTGCAAAAAAATGGTTATATCATTAGAATAAAGTGCATTGCCTTATTTGGTGAACCACACTATCTTTTAGGCACTTCTTACTTGTGCATTAATGAAACAGGGATAATCCAAGACATCACCGTGTCAATGAGGGCACCCAGGCGATCTCCAAAGCTAACTTCAACAACAGTTGCATCACTTTCAGGATCTTGAACTATTTGAACGATTGGTGTTGGAACATGAAGAGACTCCTCATAATTCTGAAATGACAATATGTATTCAGTGGTATTAGTTTTTAATCAAAATATTGGTTAATATATCACTTGCATTTTTACTTTTTTCTGTTATAGTTGGGTGCCTTCCTAAAAGGTCAAGTTGATATACAACCAAAAGTCTAGGTGGTTTAAAAAAAATCATGTCCAAGTGATCCAACTGTCTATTTAACTATTTAACTAAAACAACGTATAATGGTTTTGTTTTTGTGGTGCATGGACACTCCTAGAAATACGTAGTATAATTTTTCATGTCACACACGTGTGTGGTACACCCTCTTGGACACCTCTCCCGAGGTAAACTTTTGAAACGTTGTGAAGATGTGCATCTGTGTCATGCCAGTATCGTCGTGCATGTGCATCATAAGCTTGTTTCTCCTGAAGCAAGCCTTTAAGCATAATGTGGCTCCAAGGGGAGCAGTGGTGCCCCCCCCCCCCCAGCATGCTTTCATTATTTTTTAGAACCTCAACTTCTAGTCTTGTATAACCTTATCTCCCCCAAGTATCATTTTCTTGAAATACTAAAATCTAGTCTTCAATATCATGTCATTGAAAAATGCATCAAAAAGAATTTATTCTTTCATTTATCTTTTAAATTTCTCCATATTATTCACAGCTAGCACCGATTTTAGCTTCGATCTTGGAAAATGATAAGAGTCATATTTGGAAAAAGGCTAAGAAATCTCAACAATGACTGATAAAATTGTCCTTACACTACTATGAATCAATAGGAACTCCAATGATAGAGTGCAATGAGCTCTCAACCTCATCAATTACTTGTAGTGGTGTTTGTTCAAGCAGCTAGAGAAAAATAGCATACATGTAAAAGCTGGAAAAGAAACTTTAACTCACCATTTCCTGGGAAAAGGTCAATGAATCCACACCATCTACAGCGCAAGAAACAGCAATCCTGTAAAATGTCTTACAAGATATTCATATGGCCAAGTCATAAGAGGGGAGCAAGCATATATCTAAATGTCCAACTTTGCACTTTGCAGTTTGCACATTGAACAAATAGTTAGATTCTAGATTCATAACACATGATTAAACCCACTAGTGCTCCCAAAAATGAATCACCATATCAAGCATTAACTGGTTTGTTTATAAACATTTATGAAAGTAAAATTTCTCAGAACTTGATGATTCTGATAACAAACAGAGCATTTATACATACTATGAATTAATGGTTTATATACTAATAAGACCGGCTGATAGTTTATCAGAGATGCACAAGTTAATTAACAACGCAAATTAAACTGCACAAGTTATGCCAAATAACAGAAAACGTGATAACAGTCAAAAACGAAAGGAAAATTTTATCTCGCTGCCTTTCTTCTTTGTAAAATACATTTTCCTAGGAAAAGTGACTGTTCCTGCGATGGAAGTTCGACGGTGAAGCGTGGAGCAGAGGTGGTGCAGCGCGAACTGCCGACGGACGGCGTCGGGAAATGCCGATCGCGGTGGAGCGACGGCGGGGGTGATGAGAGCGTTGGCTAGAGCCATGGGAATGGAGGGGTGCGCGGTCAGTCAGAAATGGAGAGTTGGGAAATTGAGAGATTTGGACATGGGATATGGCTGCTTTGGACAGCTATTGTGGATGTGTGTGGGACTGTGGGCCAAATACGCCCATAGTCTAGTGCCATATGTCACCTACAGGCTATATCCTATGGAGTATATGCTACCCATTATCCTATATACTATATACTACTCCCTCCGTCCTGAAATTAATTTCTCACTTTCCATTTTGGGTCGTCCTAAAATCATCTTCCCATTATTTAAAATGGAAAGTTTTTATTAAGCACCCCTAACCAAATATACCCACCCAATTTCTCCATCATTCAGAATTCACAACACTCACCCAAACAACTCTATCTCTCTCTTTCACCGTTTCACACCTCTTTAGCACCAATATTTTCTCTCCATCTTTTACCTCTTTGCCATTTATTATCTCTTCATTCAACTCTTAAAGTTTCGTGTTTAATTTGGTCTGCACCATCACCCCTTTTTGCTCTATACATCGTTATGGTCATAGACCAAAGCTCCATTCCGGAATCAATGGTAGCCGTATCTTCATCCCTGACTCCATTGTCGTATAAGGAGTTCATAGATTTAGACAATGCGATTCGATGGTGGCCCAAGCAAAGCTTCCGGGATGAGATTTGCCACGCAGATCTAGCTGCTATATGTTGAGAGCAATCATATCTCAGATCTAAATCGATGCGAACAGTGACGATTCCGACTCTCTTGGAGTCGGCGACCAGAGTTCATTTTTTTGTATGTATTTGTGTTTTCTGTGATGAATATTCAAATTGGGCACCCTGATTCCAATTATTCGTTTCAACATTCATTTTTCAAGAGACTTTAATTTTGTGATATTTAAAGGGCAATAAATCTGATCTGTGATTCAGAATGTGAATTTGGAGGATAAGGGGCATTTTGGGAAAGTCAATGCAATTTTCACACTTTCTTAAAAATCACCTCCGGTCAAACCGGGAAGTTAATAATAGGACGGAGGGAGTATGATACTAGATAGACCTGGCAATCGGGTCAATCGTTTTGGTTCCGGTTTGAGTCTTTTCGTTTCAGGTCTCATTCGGATATATGTTAAAATCGATTTGGGTCGGGTCGATTCGGGTCGGTTCGGGTCAGTTCGATTCCGAGTTTATTTCGGTTTGACTAGTTTTTGGTTTCGGTTCAGTTTTGGTTCGAGTTTGTATCAGTTCGGGTTTGTATCGGTTCGAATTTATATCGATTCGGGTTTGTACCGATTTAGGTTTATATTAGTTCATATATATTTTTGATAGAAATTTAGGATGGGTATGGACAACTGGATTGGGCAATAAGACACTTGGGTTGAACCACATTAAAAGATTGAATCCAATCGATTAGTTAGTTCAACTCTAGAGCTTATATACCGATTATTTTCTCTTGGATTTTCCAATGTGGGATGTACTCTAAGACTCCCCCTCAAGTGGACAACCGGGCCATTTTGAATCTAACCGGTTGACCACTTGCAAATGAACTCCCATTCCCTTGACTTTTTTTTTGAGCGCCAACACCTAAATGACCACGAGCCGCTGGGTATGGACTTCCAGACGAGCAATCGTGTTAAACAGGCCACAGGCCGTTGGGTACAACCTCCATACGGACAACTGGGTTAAAGACTAACGGGCCGCTAGGAATGAACGTCTAGACGGACACCTTGACAAACGAGGTGGGCTAAAACTGGCTCCGATACCAAATGATAGAATTTTAGGATGGGTATGGACAACTGGATTGGGCAATAAGACACTTGGGTTGAACCACATTAAAAGATTGAATCCAATCGATTAGTTAGTTCAACTCTAGAGCTTATATACCGATTATTTTCTCTTGGATTTTCCAATGTGGGATGTACTCTAACAATTTTAAATATTTACTAATAAAACAATAATATCACATAATAAATTTAATCAATTTATGATATACTCCGTAGTTATTTTATTATTTAACACGGACGTACATAAAATTTAATCAATTTCGGGTCTAATCGGTTCCGGGTTTAACCGGGTTCGGGTTTTATCGGTTCGGGTTAAATCGGAATCGGGTCTGAATACATTCGGTTCGGGTTCGGTTCGGGTTCGGATCATTTCAGGTGTTCGGTTCTATTTCGGTTCTTCAGTTTTCGGGTCAAATCGGGTTTGGTTCCGGGTTATTCGGTTTGGATTATCGGGTTCGGGTCAGTTTTGCCAGGTCTAATCCTAGACTCCTAGATATGAATTTTGGAGGTGAATGATGAATTTTGAAATCAAAAAATAATGAAGGGGTTCTCGGTTGGCAGTTGACAAGACAATGAGTGTTCAAGAGATAAGATTCGGATTCGATTCCTGGCAATTGAGTTGGAGGCAACTATGTTAAGCATAGTACTTCTACAAGTAGCAGATGTAGACTCCGCTCTTTGCTACCAATCTGCGATCATAATCTAATTTACCTTCTCTCAGTGACCGTCCGAGATGAAGCTCATCCTTTTAAAAAAACAATGCAGGTAAGTGTCGCACAATTGAAACTGCAAAGGGTGTTTAGAGTATTATACTTGATTTTGATTTTTGAAAATTGTGTTAGACTGCAACTATGTTAAACATAAGATCTCTACGAGTATTCCACACATGGCCGGTCTTGAGGGGCCCTCAAAGATGAGGTCCATATTTTTTTGAAAACCTAAAAATAATGATATACCCATACCGACTATGTTCTAAAATTTGAAATTAAATTATTTGAAAATTTTGAAATTTTGATTTAACTAATGATAGAACGGGATGACCGATAACAGAAATGATTGGCGTTGGCAGTGGTAATCGGTGACTGGTGATCGACTGTGAAAGAGATATCAAATTCTCATATTAATATTTTACAAATTCAGAAGATATCAAAATATACTATTTCGAAGAATTTTTTATTTGGTATCGCTTTATGCTTCACTAGACGTACACAAAAAATTGATATCTCGTTATATTAGAACTCATATTTTATTTGCTCAGCAAAGATGTTGTAAATATTAGCAATTCGTCCTTAAAGTTGAACTTCGGTGCTCTCGCAATTCTATTTTTATACTTTCCGGCTTATAGCATTGCAGTCCCACCAAAAGAAACTCACTTAACCTCTCGCTAGGTTTGTCATTCCTATCTTGGTTGAGATTTTTAAAGTGTCATACTAATGGTGCCCAAGCAAGCAGAATCAAACCCCTCAAATATATTTGGCAAAATTTACAAGAACACTCCCAGAAATTAGAGATTTTACATAAATACTCCCAAATTTGTTTATTTACACCATTACTCCCACATTTCTCTTTTATTTACGTCGTTACTCCGCGATTGTTTCATCATCAGTGTTTCTCGGGTGCCACTTTTTATACGGGGTTTTCATCTTTTTTTTATTGAATTCAAATTAAATTAATATGAATAGACTTGATATTAATCATTAAAAAGATTTAAGAAGTTTGAAATCTCAATTTTTAAAAAGTGATGGGAAATAGGGACAATAATTAGGCTTACTAAGACGTGAGAAAGACGGTGGAGAGAATAAGTTGAAGTGAATTTAGTATATTAGAGTGGAAAAAATACATGTCTGCATTTTAACTGTTCACTTAACGCAAAAATGACACATCCAAGTAACACTAATGATCACTACCAAATTTGGGAGTAACAGCGTAAATAAAAGAGAAATGTGAGAGTAATGATGTGAATAAACAAATTTGGGAGTATTTATGTAAAATCTGTAATTTCTGGGAGTATTCTTGTCAATTTTGCCAATATATTTTTAGGTGAAATCAAATCCTTTTATCTTGAAAGAAATGTCATTGCATAAAAGTAAAATTTATGAAAATATCAAAATAAGAACGACATAATTTTAATTTTCTAAATAGAAGTGTGATAATAGTATGGTGACGCTGTGACGGTGTGCGAGTAACATTGTGGTGGTAGAGTGTGTTCGTAAGTCGGTATTGGACCAACGGTGGTTAACGTTGGCGGCTGGCATTAGCTTCTAGCGAGTGACAGATGATAGTGTGAGAGCTCATCTTTTAAGATGATATTATATACTCTTATTTAAAGGACTTTATTTTAATATTTTCATACATATTTACTTTTATTCAGGTATAAAGTATGTTTGTCAAACAAACGGTATCAACCTTTACTATTCCTTCGATCTCATTAAGTTTTAAATATTTTGAATTTGTAGATTTTAGTAGAGTTTTTTAAAATATAAAAATTGTGTGCTTAAAATTTGGTAGAGGAAAAAAATTTGTTTAGAGCATATGCAGTGGCGAGTAATTCATGTACCTCGCCCTGCCACATCATCCACTTACTTGATTACCAAGGAGAGTAATGGGCGTTCCACCCCGGCGAGCGAGGCATGTGCGAGACGTTCATGTTCTTTTTTTGTTGAAGAAATAGGGTCGGTGTAGCATATGGATAAGAAGGAAACAGATGGATTGGTTTTTTTAAACAAAAATGTTTTTATTTTTTTGTAAGGCATTTAAATAAATTAGACAACATATTTTTAAATTTCTTTAATAAGGAAAATTAAGATTTTTTTTAATTTTTAAATCTTTTTAAATAAGGAAAACAATACTCCTATTTTTAAATAAATGTTATAGAAGTATTTTTATGATCAAATAAATAATTAAAATCATTTTTATTAATTAAAATACATTTAAAAAGTGTAAAAAATAATAAAAAGAGTGACTTGCCATTGCAAGGCATGCCACTCCACTCATTTGACACACGATGACTGGACTGATTATCATTGGCTAAAATACTCCACGTCATTGTTTAGAATTCCATTTCTTACTCGCCATATTCACAAAATGTGGGGTGGGCTGGTGGCTCTCTCGCTTTGGCACAATCGCACCATTAATCTTCACAGTACGAATTGAAACTCTTCATCTCTGCGCAGCCTTTTACGATATCTTCATCGAAAAACTGCCCGATTCCGCAATTTTTCTCTTGGGAACACAATGGGTGTTGGAATATCAGTGCTGATAGCCCTAAAGGCAGCAACTTTGTTCACAATATTTGTGCATCTCAGAAATCTAGGGTTCGTATTGCTATCAGTCCCAATTCTGTATGCTTCTCTAATATCCATATTGATTTCATTAGCCTCACACCCATCGATCAATCTCCCAATCCTGCTGGGGAAAAGATCCGATGGGACTTTCCCACTATGGTCCCTTGCAATGTTCAGCCCATACTTATATTTCGTGAGGGCTTTCTCTGCACTGAGGAGGAAGAAGAGTGGGGAGCCTCCTTACAGTGAGATATGTGAGGGTCTGTATGTTGGAGGGTGGCCTTCTTCCCACGACAAATTGCCGCCGGGTAAGCCTGCTATCATTGATTGCACATGTGAGTTGCCAAGGAGGATGGAGCTCTCAGGAAATCATGCCTATTTTTGTGTGCCAACTTGGGATACAAGGTCTCCTCAGCCAGCTGATATTGAGGAAGCTGTGAAATGGGCTTGTCGAAAAAGAGCTCAGAAGGTTCCGGTGTTTGTTCATTGTGCTTATGGTATGATGATTTAACTCTCAAGCTATCGTGATGCATAGTAAAATATATTTGTGGGTTTGTGATGATACGTGATGATGATGAGGGATTTGTGATTTCATTGTGCTTAGAAGGTTCCCATCTTTCGTTACAAGATTGTGAAACCTGACATATATGTTACAATAATTTCATGTTACCATTCCCAATGTGATTAGGACTAAGGAGATGAGGATGATACCTGGAGGGCTATAGGGAAACCTAAGTCTCTTAGAACCAATCTCTTCCAAAAAAATGCAAGGTTTGCCTTTGTCACGATCTTATCGTGGGACCCTTTATGGATCCTTTCACGGTATGATACTTCGCGTACTGGGATGCTGCCCGTCTATAGCAATGATACTTAACATTAGATGAGAAGAACTCTCTGCTGCCTTTTAAGAGTTAGTACGATATGCAGGATGTTGAAAATTGCATATGACAACACGGGTTTTCGCAGTTCTTTTTGTAGCATCATCTTCCCAAGAAACCATGATTGTTGGCTTTTTCTGCTGTTGCGCAAAATAAGCAACTTTTGACTTCTTTGGCTGAAATGGGTGTTACAAGACGCTTTTTCTCGTTAACCAACGGACTCATACATGTGTAGCCCATTTTGAGCCATTTCTCCAGCTTGTAGTTGTAGTCAAAGGGGAATTATTTTTTATAGAGATAGTGGTTTTTGATTTTTTGTTAGTCTCTTCGAAACCACATCTCTACTCTCAAGTAGGGTAAGGTCTGGGTGCACTCACCCCCAGACCTTACTTTTTTATGGGAATCTACTGGGTTTGTTGTTGTTGTTGATATTGATTTTTGTTAAGCGTACTATATGTCTTTCCTTTTTGCTTGAGCTATATATATTAAGATAAATGCACATATTGATTCTTTTTTTAGGTCACGGGCGAAGTGTTGCAGTAATGTGTGCGCTATTAGTAGCTTTGGGTGTCGCAGAAGATTGGAAGAGCGCAGAAAAGTTGGTCCGAGAGAGGAGGCCTTACATTAGGATGAATGCCCTCCACCGCAAAGCTTTAGAAGAATGGTCGAAGGATCGCATCTCCTTTTCAGCCGAAAAATGAAATCGGCATTACTACTCTGGTTCAGGCTGAACACTCTTAGCTCTCTCTATGGGCTTTTCAAAATATTACACTTTTGGTACTTCTCATGGGTCTACTTGTATGAAATTCAACATATTCAATATTACACTTTTGGTAGTTCTCATGGGTCTACTTGGTATTCTTTCATCTCCATAAAATTGCAAATGTTTGAACCACTTATACAAGTTGTCCATGTTTCTTTTGCTTGATTTTATGTCAAGTGTTAAGCAGAGCAAGTTACATTTGCTTGAGAGAGATGTGTGAAGTTTGTGAAGATTATATGGTAGTTATGATTCTGTATATCCTATTTTCATACATTTGTTTAGAGATGTGTGAAGTTTGTGAAGATTATATGGTAGTTATGATTCTGTATAATATTTTGTAATTCTCTCCAGTTTCTTCTAACTTGTCATGTTATTTGTCTTCACTTTCTTTTAATATTTCAAGCAACTAGCTTCACCGAATAAAATTGCTTGAAACTTTCAAGCAAGTAGAAAGAAAAATCAGTGTAATCACTCTCATAACATTTTTGTTGAACAAAGCATTAGTTTTAAAATTTGAAATGAAAGATCTAAAATCTCGTATGAGTGTTTGAACTTTGAAAAGATCTGAGATATGAGTACTTGAAATAAGGAAAATTTCTATTGAGACATGCAAAAAATTGAGAAATGATCTAAACCACACAATTCATTCCATAAAAAAATTGAGCAACTTAATTCTTGGAAAATTCCAAAAATTAAGTAAAAAATTACTCCAAAAGTTAAAAAAAAGATTCTTTTTACAAAAAATGGACGAATTCCATCCTTAAGGTTCTCAAGACCTCCCACTCCCACAAGACTAGCCCAATAGTTACTTTGGAAGAGGTAAATTGAGCTATAGGATTATTTTTGCGAATGCACATAAGTGTAGAACAGTAAGAAGGAAACATTTTATTTTAACCTCAATAGGGAGTATTATTTACAGCAAATAGCTAAGTTGAGCCAAATAAAAATGGCATATGATTGCAGACAATTTAAAGAACATATTACATGGAAGAGAGTAGCTAATTTCACACGAAGTGGAGATTTGCATTTTGCAACTAGAAACATATCACATGTATCAAAAGCTCATCACGTATATGCTTGCAGCCGGGCAAGTAAAGAAATGAAATGAGTACTATGTTTGTGGTTTACTGTGATGAATCTTAGCGGCTTCTGCACTAGTTGTGGTCATGAAAGATTCTCCACAGCCACAATGTCCTTTGGCATTTGGGTTGATGAAGATGAATTCAGACCTGCAGGAAAAAAATGAATATGTTGAGAGTTAGGGACTTTGCCATTCCTGGGCTATGCACGCATTTTCACAATCATCTGCAACATGTCAATCCTGAAGCATGTGCATTCGTGTTAATAGGATCGATATATTCGTTTGAGACTTTGAGCTTTTTATGCTGTGAGATGATAGAAAAGTTTGTGATTTCATCCTATATGAAAAATCTCACAAAAAGGGTAGTTCCAGAACTTATGGGTTGGTTCTTGTATTTACTGGAATATAGTCGATCAGTATAAGATGATATAACAGTTAAAGACGTCACCTCCAACTGGATGCACACTTACATTCTCTTAAGACATTTTCTCTTGAACATAACCGTACTAAACATTTATTCAAAATAAATCTTATCAGAATGCTACTTCAAACATAAACGAGCTTCAGAAAGTGTTGATCCAACTATCCAAGCTAGAATTTGAGAGTGAAAGAGAAAAGCTCCACCACGATTCAGCTCACAGCCTTGCAATAAACTTGTATTAATTTCTATTAATGGCATGTTTGGATTGGGGGAACTAAAGGGAAGGCGGCAAGAGAAAAAACTAAAATTTAAAATTTAAAACATTTGAAAAGTGTGCATAAGATTTTACAATTACATTTTCTTAGTATATTATAGAGGCTCCATTCTATTCAGCGTCCACATAAATGTGCACTAATTGGTAGCATATGGGAAACAGTGAGGTCTGCCTACATGTTCCCCCCGTTCGAGAACAAAATTTGTAATCAGCGTTTAAGTTTGAATATTTTTTTCATGACGCCGATTATCTTCAAAAATGCTAAAGCTAAAGGCTACCGTCACATACTTTTCCAAAAGGAAAAAGCTGATGCCAAACAAAAACTTTGTTTGGTTCGGTTGGTAGCATATACAATGCAACTTATAGATAGATAGCTAGGTTTTAGTATCCCAAAGTATAATTGAGGTCTGCCTACATGTTCCCCCGTTCGAGAACAAATTTGTAATTAACGTTTAAGTTTGAATATTTTTTTCATGACGCCGATTATCTTCAAAAATGCTAAAGCTAAAGGCTGCCGTCACATACTTTTCTAAAAGGAAAAAGCTGATGCCAAACAAAAACTTTGTTTGGTTCGGTTGGTAGCATATACAATGCAACTTATAGATAGATAGCTAGGTTTTTGTATCCCAAAGTATAACTAAACTATCCATTCATGTGAGAAAGGCACAGAATTGTCATATTGAGACATGAACTCCAAATAAAACTGGTTAACCCATCCAGACTCCAACTTGAGGCTTTAGCTTTTCTTAATAAGTAGAACCCATAAGCTTCAAACATGTGAGGTTCATGAAACTTACAATAGTGATAATAAATAAAGCTAATGTAATTGGAAAAATGCAACAGGAACCTGATTTTATCATCAACAAAATCCATCTGAGTTCCAAGAACATGCATGAGCGCCTTCGGATCAATTAATACCTTCACACCCTTGTCCTCAACCAATTCATCAAATTTCCCCTTCTCATCTACAAAACCCAAGTTAAAATCCAAACAAGTATCATTCTGCAAAAAGCTACACACACATATACTCCCTCCCTCCCAAAAAGGGAGTTTACATTTTTCCTCTTTGGATCTATCAAAATAAAGTTTATGTTTCTCCATTTTCACTTTTATCACAAAATGAATAATTTCTAAATAATTTCTATATCTTCTAAATAATTTTCAACCAGGCACCCTTCATTTTGCATAAAAAATCTCTCACTTTTCAAAACTTTTATTAAACTCAGCGAATTGAAAACTTGACTCTGGGACAGAGCATATTATTTAGATGATTTATTAATTTTGCTAAACTGGAACTAACTCTAACTTCGATTTCATGAACCATCTGAGAAAATTATGAAAAATTTTACAGAAGAAGAAGAGGAAGAGATCGGTGTGGCTGACCTGCGTAATTGAGGGTGTACGATAGGCCGTTGCAACCGCGAGCCTTGACGCCGAGCTTGAGGAAAGACCGCTGGCGACGCTCCAACAGCTGCCGGATTCGCGCCGCCGCCGACTCCGTCAAGCTCAGAACTTGCTTTCTCATTTTCCCGAATGCACGGATTCCTCCGCGCAAGCTTAGCCCAAATTCAAGAAGTTAACCGATTCTGATCCGAAGCGAGGGATAAAAAATGATCTGTGGAAGTGGATTAAGCTTCTAACCTAACCTAGGCGGTTAATGCACATTTTGGTGCAAGAAAATAAAAAATAAATAAATAAATAAAAATTAATTTAAAATGGGTGGTGGAAAAGAGGGTGGTGTACATAAATGGCTTTTATTTTTTTTTTCAAATTACTCGTTTCGTTCCATAATTATCATGCTTCTTTTTATATTTTGATTGTCCCAAACAAAATTTTATCTTTTCTTTTAAGAAAGAAATATGTGGTCTATATCAATAATAATTTCTCTACACAAACCACAACCACTAATATTTAAAAAAATGTGTCAAGTTAAATCTGAAATTTAATTTTGTATTCTGCAATCGATCATTTAGAACTAAATATAAAAAAATATTGTGTCATATTTATCATAAAAGACTATTTACGAAATGGTTTTCAAAAATTAAAGGCCATTTATATAATATTTTAAAAGTGGAGATTAAATATAGAAAATATTCTGTTATTAGAGACTACTTATAAAATTCAGTCTTTTTTATTCATCTCAATATAAAGTGTGACATTTTAACTCTTTTGACATTTTAACAATTAATTTAATAAAGTTTTAAATTAATAAATATTAAACAAAGCTTGCATATCAAAACTGTATTTTAAAATAAAACGAATCATATGAAATTTACATTATAATTTGTAGTCAGGGAGTCACAATCTGAGAAAAGATCAAAAAGTGACTCTTTTTTATCAAAGTGAGTATATGTTGATTAATATTCTTCAATCATATAATGAAACAAGAATAATTATTAAATATTATCTAGAAATTAAACCCTGTAATTGATTGACCGGGAGAAGACGACATGATCTTGATCGTGGTCATGTTTCCTTTTAGGGCATGTTCTTTAGAACTGGAAAAAAAGAGTTGAGTGTTGGAAAAAACTATAAGGAACTTAAAGAAATTTATTTGAAGAAACTGGAATAATTAAAAAAATTAGAAAAAACTAGAAGAAATTAGAAAATCTTTAAAAAAATTGAAAATTTATTTAAGTTTATTTTTTATATTATTCTCATTCTAACTTATTATAATTTATCACTTTGTATTATTATTATTGTATTAGTATTATTATTATCATTATTATATTCATAATCACGTTATCGTAATCTTTAAGATAAAAATATTTTCATTTTTCATACAAGAAAATATTTTTTCGCAAATTTTTTTAATTAAAATATAAAGTTGGCATAAATATTAAAATATTAAATTTTTAAAAGTTATTATGGTTACATTGCATACTTGCATCTCAGTTTATTTATAGAGTATTTATTATAAAATAATATATTTGTAATTACACTTTATATATTACAAGATTTTATTTCAAATATCAGACCTGTCACTAATGTGATCAAATATATATATTTTTATTTCATGATTGACATTGTATTTGCATTGAAACTCTTATTTTGAGAATAAAAATATAGAACTCGTATTTTGGTACACATTTTTATCTTTTACTCCTAGTTTAGTCTTTTTCTTTCAAATATTTTGACTTTCAAACATTTTTATAAAAATTTGAAAAATGTTCTCCTAATATCAATTTAGAAAGGCGTGAATCGTAAAAATAGTAACATGGAACAAATAAAAAATGAAATAATTTATATACTTTTTTTATGGATATACTAGTTGTAATAATTATAATGATGATGATGATAATAATAATAATAATAATAACGATAATAATAATCATCATCATGTTAAAAATTCATAGTTTTTAGAGTAATTATTTGGGGAGTAGAGAGTGTTTGAAGAAAATGAGAATAGTTGAAAAAAACTATAAGAAACTTGAAAGAACTGAAAGGAACTTGAAGAAACTTTAAGTTAAGAGTTTGAGCTCTAAAGAACATGCTCTTAGAGTGTATTGTTAAGGATGAAACTCAAGAATAGAGGGACAAAGAGAAGGCCAAAAAT